AAGAAGACGAATTCAATGAAGATGATTTGTGTGAAAATGACGATAATGTTGAACAGCTTTTGTTAAGGTTCAGATTCCTCTTGTTTATCCAGTTATTCAGTAGACACCATGCCATTTTCATCTAAATATAAAAGGATAATTCAATGATAACGAAATTATAATAATGAAGCACTAAAACAAAAAAACACTGTACATGCAATACAATCAAATATTAGTATGGAGTACGATAAAATTAGTACCTTCAACAGATTGGCGTTTCTTTGCAGCTTTGGAAAAAATGAGAATGTCTTGTGGATTAGCAACCTATATGTAGGAAAAAGTTAAGCATTAGCATATAAAGATTACTCATTAATATTGGTGTAGTCACTCAATTTGGACACTGAACATACCTTCCCTACGTATTTCTGGCCAAATCTCTGAGGGTTAATCGTTGAAAACCCAGAGTAATCAACCTATAAGATGAACTTACACACTTTATCTTCATAGAAAGGCCAAGACAACTATAAAAAATCAAAATAGAATATTGTCCACATTTTAAAAACAGAAAAGTGTTAAAGAGGCAGAAATGTATGTGTTCTCACAAGCCAACAACAAACATTCACATACAGAGGGTGGAGAGAGAGAGGGTATTGATGGTGCAACAACCCAAATTATCTCAGGCCAGCCAGATACCCTAGTGAACATGTTTTAGGTGAATTTCCAAGGCCTTAAAGAAGAGATTTATAGCAGATATTTCAGGTGTATTAAAGACAAACAGTAATGAGTTAATATATTACAAAGAAAAAGAACAAAAATATTAATCAATTCTACCTTTATTCTCACCAAGGGTAGTTTGAGCTGTGATCTACTTACTGCTCTTTTGCTACTTTTGTCAATCAAATTTCTCACCTAAGAAATTGAAAGCTTGCTGAGATTAGGAGAACAAGCATGAAAAAAAGTGGTTACCAAATGTTTCAACTTAAATAAAATTTAATCTGATGCAACTTTGTTTCAGAAACAAGATAATTTCTCCCTACCACTTTGTCCAGATGTTCAAGAACGGATGCTTGATCATTGGGATCAATGTCAGCTTCGTCTTTTAGGACAACCTAAAATGTTGATGAGAATATTTAGAGAAATGGATGTCTTAAACACATGATTTGCAATAATCGAGCACCTTACCTCAGCATACTCAAAAGGCCTGACTGACTTTAAAGGTATTTTTGTAGGTCTGTACTGACTGCCCTATATGCAGAAAAATATAGGCATAATCAATGTCACAATGGCTACACAAATGAAGAAGATAAATAAAGACAAAACAAAAATCTTCAACAGCACCACCTTAATCTCCAACATAAGTACATGCTTAGGCTTTGCTTCCCCATCAATCAATGATGTCGCAACTGAAGAACCTGGCTGAGTAATATGGAAGCCCATCCCTGGTACTTCCTGTGTAATTAACTAGATTCAGGAATAGCCTCTATAAAGCAAAATCCGAGGATGAAGCATACAAACTTTAATACCTGTGGATCAACAAGGCATTCATGTTCATGGCCCCACACAACAAAGTCTAAGAAACGAGGTAAGAAGTGTTCGTTTATTGCATTCTTGGGATTTGTTTTGATTCTATGGAGACAAAACAGGACAATCAACCATGGTGTAATCACTAAGTGATATCCAAGAAGAAAGTATCAAACATTTTACATGATAATTCAGAGAAATGTATAACCTATTCTGATGAAGAACCAGGATATTAAACCAATTTGACACAGGACATGCTTCTTGGTGTCCTGGCCTTATCCATTGTACTGCATGTGGTGTCTGTACATGAATAAATAACATCAGAGGTAGAACAGTATTCCTCTACAATATTTAAGATAGACAACATATAAGTTGCAGCAAGAGTACCTGAAACATTCTATTGAGCCGTTCATCACGAATATTTCCAAGGCCGTATAAGGCTACTGAAGTTGTTCCCTGAAATATTATAAATTATTAAATTGTCATCAACACCCAGCCTCAAATCTAAAAGTACTCACCTTCCTAATAAGTATAGGATGGAGTGTTATTTGACCAACACCAGAGCCCCCAAGGACCATTTTACCAAAATAGTTCACAAGATTGCTTGCAGAGAGGATATCAATGGCAGAAAGGTTATCCTGTACAAGATTATGGATGATAAATAATGTTATTTTGTTAAATACAAAGCAAATTTTGAAACAATGTAGCCATCAAACATCAAAAGGAAGGACTTCTTTAGAATAAAAAGTGAACGTCACATATAAAAACTAAATAAGAAACCTCTGGTCGATAATATTTTTTTCCAAAAAATCCTAAAAAGGATACCATCACATGCAATGAGCTTAGGAGCTTGGATAAAATCTAGCAACTAAAGCTAACTTGACTACTTGAGGCTCTCTATCATACATCATCTTGGTCATCCACCCATGTATAAACTAAACAGTACATGTTCAAGAAAATGAACAGAACATTACATAGTGTTTGATGCAACCATGAACCAGACAGATGACAATGCTGGAAAGATGAGTCTCAAACAAGATAACCATAAATTTTCTTTAATGGCACAGCACAGCTCTGATTACAAAACACCAACAGTTCTACTTTTCTTAACAAGAGGTGTTAATTCTATATTTGATCTCAACTAATTAATGAGGAACTCAATAAACAAATTATAAACCGTATAATAGTTGCAAATTACAAGCCACTTGTGCTCTCTGAGATGAATGATTCAACCATACACAAAGAATAGCATAAATGTTTATCATATTGAACTTCTTTATCATACATCTTATAACATGTTGCAAAAAGATTTCAGAAAAAATTAAACACCTAAGAATGCATGTGATCCAAAGATGATTGACCTGGAAGCAGCTTTGCGATTTGAAATAAAAGCTTTTTGGTACCTTCATTGTCTTGCTATGAGATTATATGCACTTTCGCAGCTTTTCTAGATGGAGATCTAAAGGTTATGTATGGAAACACTATAACATAAAATTGGAACTTTTAACATTTGTTTCCTTTTAATTAAATTGGAACTCATGTAGTGTTATCTTATAACTCATTCTTTGAACACAATTAAATGGATCATGACCCTGTACTTCATGTAATCATGATAAAATAGACACATTATTTGAACAAGATCTGAGAGACATAAGGCTTCACACTGTACCACTCCAGCAGGATCATCATGATTCCCATGGATAGTGAAAACCGGTAACCCAACATTGAAATGAGGATCCTCATAGTTGACATGGCCAAATCTGCAAGTACACATAACAAAAGCTTAAGTTTACAAGTATAATGAGAAAATAACTTGATTCTTATCCAAATTGTACATCACATTTATAAGTATCATCGAGTTGATGATGATGTGCAAAACATATGCCATGCAGGAAAAACTGGTTCACGTGAAGTTACTAGCATTGTTCATTTTGTTCCCTTCAACTCTATAGATCGAATGCAATTTTTTGTGGATGTATATGATTCCTTCCCTCCTTCCTAATATAAAAGCAAAATTTAAGGCATGATGCACATCTAGAAAACTCCTTTTTATAACAATATCTTGAATTAATAGATTTCTCACAAACCTTTCATGAATGACAACTAACATTTTACATGTTGACACTATTAATTTGACAAAATAAGAAAGAGACAAATAGGCATCATACACATTCTGGAAGTTCACTGTCTGGTCACTAACAACTTGGAACTGCACCGGCCGATCATTGAGACAGTATCTCCTTAAAGTTTCAATAGTCTTTACTAAAGTTGACCTTGAAGGCTTATTCTCATGAAACAGATCACCTCCAAGAAGAATGAAATCTACCTGTAGTCAAATCAGATTAGTCAAAGTCACTACTCTAATAAAGCAGTGGCAACATTTCATGCTATGTTGTCTATCTAGAAGAGAAGCAACCTGCAGTTATAAGAAGAATGATATGGTAACAAGAAAATGAACTTCAAGTTTCAACTTTCACAGGAAGAGAGAAATGGTCTAAGCAACCATAGTGACCTGCCATTAAATGTACCACTCAGGAGTACAAAAATAGCAGCATAAAGTAGACAATTTCATTATGTGTACATGTAAAGAAATAGTATAACACTAAAAGAGTATCATATTTCAGCAAAAATAGCAACTTTCAACACAAAGGTGGTCACAAGACAAAGTTAAAAACCTTGTTTTGCTCAGCTATTGAGCAAATCTCCTCAAATGCCTGAAACGAATCAAACCTACGTATTTCATCTTTCTCCAAATAACCTAGATGACAATCAGTTGCAATAAGCACTCTGAGCATATTGCTTTTATCATCCCTGCAATATTTGTAAGATAATTAGCAGATAGCTTAACATATGCAAGAGAAATAATAGTGAAGAAAGCAACGACAACAGGGTATAAGCATGTGTTGTGCTGATGACAAATATATCAGCATCAAAGGACCAAAATGAATTTTAATACACATATAAAACATAAGAATATTTGACTTGCTGAATTTTACTCAAATTTCAAAATTATAAATATGACCTATCATGTGAAGACAAAAAAAAAGACTAGCTTAGTTTTCATCAGCTGCATCAGAAGATCACAAAGGATCACAGCTTACATTTTCAAGTCTCTCGTGTGCAGAAAGCCTTGCGATTCTCCACCGCCCTGCACTCATAGCAACCTTGTTATAATTGTTATGTGTTAACTATTTTTCTAGAAAATAGTGCTTAAAACAGCCAGTAAACGAGATAACGCAAGTCCAACAGATACAATCTCAAAGCCTTCACATGACCTCTTAAGAAACTCTAATTCATCAAGTCCTATGCATAGTAGACAACAACATTCAGCTAACAAAACAAAATTGTATCTATCTACAAAAACAAAACGCAACGGTGAACCCAATGCCCCAAGCACCTCTATCTACAAAAACAAAAGTGTACAACTCTATAACATGAGAACCTCCTTGAAAACCTACAACACCAACATTGAAGCAGCCGCAACGAAAGGGTTCATCGCCAATCCTCATATTCTACCGCATTCCAACCGTCTAACATAGAACGTAAAAGAATCGGTCCGAGTAGGAAGAACAGCGAAGATTGTAACAGAAGCGTATCGATGAAGGGTTTATACAACCATAGATTTGCACCTGAAAAGGGGCTCTTTCCACCAATAAAGTTCCGAGATCGAAAATAGTATGGAACATCAGTAGAGGTTCTATGAGAGAGAGGGGAGAGACAAGGAAGCGATTTACCAGTCGCGGTGCAGCGGCGCCGCCCCTCTCGGAGCAGGAACTAGGAGAAAACGACGACTCAGCGAGCAGCGTTCGAGGGAACAATGCTCCGGGAAACACACATTTTGAAGCGTGATGTCTTCCGAGCAAACTGCTTTCGCTACCGGTTCACCATGTACCCTACATCTCACCTGCCTGGATATTTAAGAGCCTCATGTGGGTCCCGCTGTTGTTTCCGGTCAAGTGGAAGCTGTTGCGTGGGTTGGCCAGGAGTATTTACGCTAATTTACGACCCCGTTGGGCCCGATCAGAACCGACGGCCCACGCGTTGGACCGATCTAATCCAGCGAATAAACCCAAACCGGCGCTCTTGTGAAGGAAAGCGAGGCTCCGATACAGCCACCGCAGTGTTCTATTCACATGTAGAACTGCAACTGTCTCGTTACACACAAACTGATGTGCATGTCATGCGGTGACTTATCATCCGTTCAGGCTGTAATAGCTATACTAAATAATATATCATCGTCTAGAGATAAGTGAGAACTATTTCCACACATGTGAGAACTTCATTAATCATCGAATCGATTAATTACTTGGCCTATTTATATAGGATAAGTGCATCAGAGTATGCATAGGTCATGGTGTCGTACAGATTATTCGCCAAGACGCAGATGTTCATCAGAAGCCAGAAAAGGCCAGACACGAAACTACTAGCAGGAAGTTTACCAAAACATCTCTGATAATAATAATATAACCCTAGCATTAGATATTTACCCATGCCATATACCCATGCCGACTCTACATGTAGTATTATTCACTCACCAAGCATTAGATATTTAGTTTTTGGTCAGAGCATTCAGGGAAATTAAATGACACACCGTGGGCAATCACTTTTAAATATCCATGACAACAGAAAATACATGTGAAACTCTCAAGGAAAAAAAAAATCATGTTCAGCACTGTCCCCCTATTCTCTCTAACATGTTTTGATATCACCAGTATCTTCTGGAAATGATCAGCTGGAGACCACCGAGGCCTAATAAGCTGAAAAAAGGCAAGTGAACAGGACAGGGTTAGACTGTAAGTTATCTGAAATCCTCAAGATTATAAATAGCATGGCATTGCCCACTGTGTAACAGAATCAATAGATTGATTGTGAATCACAAGAAAAACTAGAAAAGAAAATCCAAGGCAAACGAAACCATAATAGATCTTTACATAATCAGATGATTCAATAAACAAGGTAACCGACCTAGTAGGGAAGAGCAGGAAAGAAAAAAAAAAGTGATGTACCTCAGAGGGTGGTGCTTCAGGCAAGACTGCTTAGGCAGATGACTTGAGATTCAATAGTCACGGCCAAAGCTATATCTTGTGGTCATATGCTTCAGTCTACACTTAACAGAGTTTATCACCCTCGTGGACACCACAACACTATGTAAAGGTAGCTTATATCTGCAGGAATGCAATTGGAAAGAGGAGACACTGAAAAAAACAAATGCTTACTGCCTAGTCATATCCAGATTATATACATGAGGTGGACAACAAACCACTTGTTCCAGATTGCAGAAAGTACTGAAATTGCAACGGATGAATGTGACTAAAAGGATCATAAAATATAATATATGAAGCCATTTTTCTATTAAAGTCAATAATTAGACTAAATATATAGGTCAGAAAAATTACTCAACAGTTGACTGAGTTATGCAGTAGGATCCTTCCTGCAGTGGAGAACTTATGTATTTCCATCCTAATGCTCACTTTTGAGAAAGGATGGTGCTCATCATTGACTTGGTGAATCCTACATACAAAAACAGACATCAATTTACTGCTGATACAGTGGGATCAAAAACCAACACCTGCATTTGCCCCAAATGTGATGAACTCAAGCAACAACAACAGTAAACATATACATATATGCTACATCTCTTCCAAAAATATCTCTTTGCACGAATAAATAACAGTCTAAAGATCTCAGCAATTCATAATCATATTATGGTGACCTATAGCTCCCAAAGTGATCACAGACAAATCTAAAAGGTTCGTAGATTTTTTTTCTCAGATGCATCAAGCAATCTTTAAAAGATGAAATTCCAAACAACAAAGCAGAAGGCTCATCTAGATTGATAAGTGTGAACTATCCACCACTTCAATTAAGTTGTTTGAGCCTAGAGTATGGTACATGAAGAATTGAAGACAAGAAAAGAATACCATTAATTTGATGAATGCAGACCATAACTTCTACTCAAGGGTTACAACTGCTAGACTCTAGAAGAGTTGTCATGTTAGGTTTAAGTTCTACTTAACATGAACAGGATAAAATTGAAAACTCTAAATGTATAATACAATAGTCTCCATGAAACAATGAGTTCCAACGAATGTCCTACGAGCAAATGGAGTTTTGCATAGGTAAATTCAGAACAAGTATAAAGTTGCCTAAATTCAGTTTACCTCTTTCCTCGACCCGCATTAGCTATCTAGTTCCTAAATCTACGCTCAACTATAAGATATGGCATGGAAAACAATGACATCCACAATACAAGTCCTGCTGAAAAATTATACAAACTTTCATAATGTCATACATCATAAAATTAACACTAGCCAATCTTGATACGCTCAACATGCAGTCCTAGAAGATATTATGTAGTTTAGGAAGCAAAAGTTAAAAATTAATTAAGTCGAGAATAAAATCTCAACCATGATTATTGAGATTCACTAGTTTGTTGATCAGCACAAAAGCCTAACTGGAAAATAGCAAAAATGCAAGTTGAATGAAAATTTATGAAAATTGATTAGTCACATCCAAAACAAAGTTCCAATTAAAAATTATTAAGGAGCAACTAAATGAATATTGATAATTATGTTCTGATAAAAGAATAAAGTATGCATCGCATTGAAAACCCAAGTTTCAAAAGAAAATTATTGAATGATTAAAAAATTGTTATAGATATTAGGCCTAAAGTGAAGGTAGGGCTAGAAGGTTTGAAGTCTCAGTACAATATCTTGTCGAACTGTTATGGTACTGGAAACCAAGGATTTATGAACCTGCATCATTGAAAAAATAGTTTTAAAAAACCTAGTATATAATCTAGCAGCAATCCTTGATCGAAGTAGTAAATACAGATCAATACATGCTGGTCCAACCAGTATTTAAAACCTTGTGGCATGTACAACATTATTCTAATTTTTTCTGGACTTCAAAGCGTTTCTATGGTCTACAAAACCAAAACCCTCAATTATATTTAATTGAAGGAAAACCCTTGGCCATTTTAAACTGGCAAACACCATGATGCTGACAAAGAAAGGGCATGCCTTTCTCAAGTTAGAAGTGATGAGGTGGTAGATATGAAGCTTAAACCACTTTGTCTTCTCAACCTCTCAACAACCTAGAACTAGAAGTTCCAAATCTTTGGTGTATTGGGGCATCACTATCAAAAGTAGAACAAATGTTAACATTATCAAACAAAGTTTGTTGTTAGACCATTTGTATGTTGGCATCTCATCTTACAATTCTTACCTAGTGCTGGATTAAAAAATAAGCGGTAAGACATTCAAATTTCAAACAACAACAGAGAATTCAGATCCAAGCAGTAGGACGTTCCCAACAAGAATTAATGTACTAAGATAGTATGAATCTTCTAGCATCCAAACACAGATGGACTAAAATGAAACATTACAAGGAAAAATCATTACAGCAGTAAATTGCAAATAAACTAACAAAATCTAATGAAACAGATCTTAGGAGCAGAGGTACATTTAATATGTGTGGATATGTAGGCTTGAGTTATTATGCAGACTAGGTGAGCAGTACCTCCAATGAAGTCAACACACGCTCAATTCTGAAAATGCAGATAAGGAACTAAACTTGTCTGATTTCCTGAGAAGCTTTTGTAAATTGCAACTCCCTTCAGCAAGAAACAAAGATTACATGATAAAGGCCTCACAAGCGCATGTCACCAAAATCAAGTTCAAGATACCAAACAATAAGAGTTGAATAGAAATTGTAAGTCATCCACAGAAAAGATATTGTTGAAGAGGTGTACCTAACATGAAGCATACAGAACCAAGTTTACAAGATGATAAAGATGGAAGGTCAACAATTTGAACAATATGACACAGAATTGGAAACAAATTAAAGCTATATACAGACAGTTGCCAAACTTTGGAAGACGAGAAAAAAATGGAACAGCCTAGACCAAGGTTGTCCTTAGGGCAGGCTATTTCATGTCATAGTCAATTGTAGTTCAGATATACAGTCTTGATGCACTTTGTGCTGAATATTTTGACTCTTGCTTGAGCTGATGAAGCATGGAAAGCAATAGAGCTTCTTGGTGATCTTTCAAACACATGCATGAATATGTCTGCATTGGAAGATATATTCAATAAAACCAAACACCATCCATAAGGCGACGGATTTTTCTTAACACATTCTTCTAGCCCAGGTTTGAAACTCCGATTATCATTCTTTATGAACTCACTGCCTTTAATGATGCCTTTCTTTCACTTAAAACTTGTAATTTGCCAAATCCTCTTTTGCAACTTTGTTAGTTCCTACTGCCTACCATTAAAAGCTGAGGTATTTTGTCCACATGTTCTGTTTAGCACAAACCATGTTATATCATCATTCACCACTCATATGCAGCTTGATCAAAACTTCTAAACCTCCCTGTATGTAATGGCATATAAATGCATAGACATTCCTGTGTGTTCTTTTTATGACTTTCCAGAGAATGCATGTCCACATGTAAAAGCAATACTTGCATTTATATATGTAAAGTCTCTAATTCAATATCACAATGCAAACACACAACCAATTTCCATGATAAAATTCAAACAAATTAAAGATCTTTTAAAATCATATCCTGGAGCATGTACGATCCTCAAAATTAATGCATAATTATCCAGTTCAGAACACTGCAATTTGTTCCCTGTAGTGATTCGAACTTTAATGAATTCAAAAGGAGGCAAAGAAGCAAAGTACAAACAAGAGCATCAGTGCAGCAGAATAGAAAATTTTACTGTTTGTACTATGTATCAAATCATAAGAATATGTAGGTTAGATCTTTTTAAAATTCTTGCAAACACAATTATACCGATGAACTTGTCAGAACATGCAAAACTCATTCTCTTGCTAGCCTTAAAGAGCATCACAGTATGAATTACCTTCTCACAAGAAAGTTATGATCACTTCCTTTGACACTGGAAGCAGCATGTCCCATCGCACCGACCAGTCAACTCTTGCAAACACAGTATGAACAATCAAATGTGATTACACAAAAGCATAGGCAACATTCAGTTAATTCTTGGTATTAAATCCAGCCTTTAGGAGCACATTTACAAAGTGCTAATAAGAAATATGTTACATATACAAGTCTCAGAGGGAATTGATCAAACTGAGATAAAATTGATATCCCACACCTTGAAGGATGCACTGTATAGTTTGTGCTGCTGAAGTAAAAGAGAGTGCCCCGCAAGAGATATTGTTTGGGTCCCAAAAGGAAAATAAAATCCTTTATCACCCTCCACACGATCAGTGGCGCTGGCTAAACAACATTGTCAATCACTCTGGCCATAACAAACTTGTGCAACGTCCAGCAATATATGTATCACCTAAGAAATTAGTGATCAGGAATAGATGACTAAATGAGCAGGCAGCACTCACAGCCGAGACCCTGTAAGTGCTCTGTACTTGTCCTCTAACCAAACAGGGTAGGAAGACCTAGTTCCCCTTGTTGCAATTCCTTCATCCTTTGCTCTGCAAGTGGATCAGGGCTCTTCGTTACTCTTCGTAGACGCCTGAAAATGAAATGAGACAATTCAAAATTGGGTCACACACAAGAGGAAGCGAGGAAGACCACGTTTAGCTGAGGTTTGTTGATTGAACAACTTTAGGCACCTGTCTTGAGCATGCTGAGCAGGATAAGTAGGCATAAATTCCTTAGATTTAGGCAATGGAACCTCACAGAACCAACGATGATTAACGGCAGCTTCTGCTGTTATTCTCTGTGTCCAAAATAAGCCAGCAAACATTCATCAGTAGAGAACTAGCAATATCAGAACTGTCTCTGGTAAGAAATTTGATTTACTATTTCAACATTTACCTTCTCCGGGTCATAAGTCAGAAGTTGGTTTAGTAAGTCAAATCCAGCTTCAGACAGGGTTGGACATCCAGAAAAAGAAGTGGGAGGAAACTTTTCTCGTAGTCTATTATACCTATAAGAAGAAAGAAAAAAATTACTGATGACCGAAGAACATAAAAACTGCTTCACCTAAGTGCTAGTGCCATCAAAGCTTAGGCATGATCATCCAGAGCTCGAGGCCTGGAGAAAGGTTGTGCTAATAAGATCACAGGACAAATAACCACTATAAATTATAAATGCATGCAATAATCAAAAACAAATTGCAGAAGCCTACACTTGGGACTTACGGCTGCTTGACAAAATTAACTTTAACGCCAGGTAATTTGGCAAACCCAGGCCAAATCTTCTCGTTCGGGGTACCAAGTGTCTTGAATATCTGCAGGAAAGCTGGTTACATTAAAAGAGATATACAACCATATGTCAAAGTGTGCTGAATGAGAACGGTTGTATTAGAGAAAAATACCTTGTCAAGTTGATCAAACTCAGTTTTTCCGCTGAATAATGGTTCTTTTGCTAGAAGTTCAGCCATTATGCATCCTAAGGACCACATGTCAACAGCTGTTGAATACTCCTTTGCTCCTAAAAGAAGTTCTGGGGCTCTATCATAACAAAAAGCAAAGTAAGCCTGAAGTGATCAAACTAATTCAATATAGAAGCAATTGTGGTTGACTATGCCATAAAATTAACGTATTGACAAATATTACGAAATTTAACACTCGCCACCATCCCATGAAACAAGAAGCAGAAGAAGAAAAAAAAGTAAAAATACAGATCATGACCATATACCTGTACCATAATGTCACCACCAAGTGAGTGTAAGGTTTCAGTGGGCTGCCGTACTGGCGAGACAAACCAAAATCACATATCTTCAATTCTCCACGATTGTTTAAAAGGATATTTGATGTCTTCAAATCCCTAGAGGGAAGAGAAGTCATTCAGCAAACAGAAATACAAAGGAAGAAATAGAGGCAATAAATGCTAAAGCTGCAAAATCTGGAAGTACCTATGAAGGACCCAATTATCATGAAGGTACTTGACACCTGAAAACAGCTGCAACATCAAACATTTTACCTCACTCTGACTAAACGGCTGCTTCATAGTCTCCATCAGCCCTTTTAAGTCATGTTCCATATATTCCATAACCATAAAAATACTGTCAAGGCTGCTACCAACAACAACCTCCTTAACATCCACAATTGAAGGATGATGAAAAGATAACAAAATATTTATCTCTCTAAGTGAGGTCAGTGGAAAACCCTCCCTCTCCTTTTCCATTTTCACTTTTTTCAATGCCACTATCTCCCCAGTTTTTTTGTCCTTTGCTCTGTACACAACACCATAAGTGCCTTCGTCTATTTTATTAAGCCTCTCAAACTCATCAACACTTCTACAACCTTGCAGCATGTTCATACATCTTTGAGGTGGTTGTGATGGTACCTGCGTCTTGGCTCTATCAACATCAGTTTCAGAGTCAGTATCAGATGATTGATCACCAGTGTCTGCATTAGATACATTGCTGTCAACATTCATATGATCATTTCTTTCAAAGTAAATCCCCCGGTCATCATTTCCATTCTCTCCTTCTGAATCAGATAGCATGGACGGATATACCCTAGAATTTTCTCTCACAATAACCTCACCTAGCTCAGGAGTTGGCGTTTTCTTTTGCAACTGTTTCCCTACTGAATCAGACAAAGGTGTGATTTTTCTCTTTTTAAGTGTAAGATCATCCTTCATCAATTCATCCTCTTCATCATCAAGCGCACTGTTTCCATCTGCCCATCTGGAGAAAGAAATACTCCGAGCTGGTGCAAGTTCCTCTTCATACTCATCTAACGACCAGCCTTTCTGTTCATTATTTGCCAACTGTTCCTGAGGAGGATCTACAGAGACATCTACATCTAAGGGCAATGCATGCCCTACGGCTGGTCGAACAACCTCAATGGAATGTGGCGGTACAAAGCCCTGAGGCAATGGAGGCGGTGGAGGCAGGGAAACATGTTCAAGCTTGTTACTCTTACCACTGGAAGTAGCCACAGTGGGTTGCTTATTATCAGCCCTGTCCCAAATGATTGGAGAGAATTTCCTCTTCCCAATAGACGCGGAATAATCACCATTCTCCTGAGAATCATTCTCTCTGATCTTTGAAACAGGTGCTTCAGCATCATCCGATCCACTCCCACTGGACAACTCCCCAGTCTCGCGGTCGACGTCTCTCCCAGAAAGTTGGTTTATTTTTCGACTACGACCGCTTCCACCACTCGAATTGCTCGACAAGGGAGAGCGGTAGGAGCCATTCGCCCCTCCTCTCACCCTGATGTCTCTTTGTGTAATACTAACCCTATCACGTGCCTCCCGGCCACGGTCCCTATCGCGACCTCCATCACGGAGACGATCGCGATAATAATCCTTCCTCCTATAGGCTTCTACATCTGCTTCCCGAGCCCGGACCTCGCGATCTCGGTGACCACCATGTTCACCGGCTGCCATAACGTGAGAAACCGCCTAAAGTGGGGGATGGGCCGGGTAATCAAAAGAAACCCTAAAAATCGAGAAAGGGGCGGAAAGCAAAGACAAAACCTAGAGGAGCGAAACGCTAGAATTCACCCAACGAGGCCGATTATAACCACCACCACTCCCAACCCCACCCCCTTAAAAATCTTTCAAGATCAAAGAATAACGTGGAGAAAGATTGACTCGACGTCGAATCGATTAGCAAGAGGCGAACTCCATCAAGAATCGACGAACCTGACGCGTAGCGATCGCGGCAAAGAGCCCGACTGAGATGGAATCGAGCAAGAATTCAGGAGGGGAGGAGGAGTGAGAGACCAGCACGGAAACTGACCTCGAACACAGACCGAACAAGGATTCCGCGGGCGCCGACGGAGACGAGGGCGAAAGGTTGTAAAAACCAGAGGATAAACGCAAAGGTTCGATTCTTATTATTATGCAATTCGACTTGTGCGTCGATGCGAGGAGAGGCCGCCGCAGGCGCCGACCGCGAAAACGTGTGGGCCCTCTTTGGAAGCTCACGTATCGGTCGATCCATACCTTGTATCAATTCTTACCCGACTTATTCACCTGTGTCTGTCCGGTACGACTGATAGAGTGGAAAAGAAGTCAGTGGATGGCATGTTGGGTACGACTGATGAGAGTGGAAAAGAAGTCAGTGGGCCGGATCTATTCTCAACCCGGTTTGGAGTCGGCACTGATAACTCGAGTCAATCCGATAACTCGAGTCATCGCTGGGTCCGATTACCCGACTAACTAATGAACATGACACGGATCCGGTACGGTAGGATCCGACTCGTGTGATGGTTTTGCTTTTGGATCTGAAACCGTTCTGCAATATGCAGTTTTCGGATCGACCTCACAAAACATGATATTCTCATGTTTAATATGACTCGACTATATATTATATATCATCAGTAAAGACTGTACTAAAATTTGAAATAATTGTGACAAATAAAATAGTAATTAAGAAAAATATGATTGATGTAGTCAATTTGACCCTCATTTTCAAAGTGGATATTTGTCACATCAATAACAGCCAATTTATTAGAGTGTTGAAGATTCCAATGATGGCCTACTAGCAACTTTCATGAACGGTAGCGAAACCTTTTTTTTTTTTTTTGTGTATTTAGATCCATTTATCATGGTCTATGAGTCAGTATGGCTAGGTCTACGGGACGATATCGAGAGCCTACTGCGGGGTGATATGGATGATGAGATGGCCTGACCCTCAAGAAGGAGTGTTGTTGTTATTGAGAAGCTTAACATAAGTAGGTTTGCAAGTAATAGAAAATTTAACCATAATTTTCATGAAGGAGATAAGTATTTTCTAATGACTGTATTAAAACCCTCTCTCTAAGTTTCAAGCCAAATGTCAATAATACATCTCAAAACTTCAATCCACTCTTTTTGGATTATTAGTTTCCAAATCCAACTATATTGATTGGTATTGATGTTCTTAAATGTGAATGATACTATATATGACATGAACCAGCTTAGATCAGACAGAACCATTCTTAATAGAATAATAAGAAGGATCTATTAGTATTGATATTCCCAAATGTCAACAAGATCATATTTGGCATCAACCAGCTTAGATCACATGTAACCATCCTTGTCAAGGCAAGAAGGATCCTTTTGGTGTGTAAGGCATATCTTTGATAACTTTACATGATGTAACAGTGGGGCCAACAAATTAGATTTATCCCTCTCGAGTTGTCACCTTTCTATTGAAGGAATTATCTAATCAACCTCTCAATCCCGAATAGGATAGAAATATGAGTTCAACAATAATTAAAGCCTACATAAAAATAGAGTAAAATACAAAATCAATCAAAGTGAAAGAAGAGACCTACTTTTCACATTTGTAATGATAAAATCATTATAAGAGGGAGAAAAGAATTTTACTTGGAGTCACCATGTTCTAATACACTTGAAAGAAAATAAATCTCTCATTCACACCAAATAAGAAATATTTTTTTAAATATATTTAAATATAATATCCAAGTCTTACACATATTGAATTATGATCCGTATATCATAAATAAAAATAATATATATTATTCATATTTAGTAATATGATTTGTGATGTCTATATTTTATAAATACGATAAACATATGCTCATATTTTTTTAATTTTAAAATTAAAGTTTATGCTTCCCAAAATATGTTACTCATAATATTCTATGAATTTTTAGTTGTGCATGCATAAACATCAATATCTACTTTATGTATATTCTAGAATGAAAAAACATAATTTTTTAGTACAACAAACTTAAGTGTGCTAGTGGATTTAAATATGAGGCTAGATTATGATAATAAACATACATATAGTGATTAAACATAATTATTTAATTTTAATCAATATTGAGTGAATCTTAATGTTTGAATAAGTTTGATCATGATTAAAGTAGGGAAGCTTGAGTCTAATCATATATGCGGAGGATAATAAGCTATTTAAATATGGTTGAAGTAATTAAAAATTAAATAAAAATATTAATCAAAGATGTGAGATTGAATAATAGTTTTAAAAAAAATATTATATTTGTCAAATCAAATTAGATTCAATTGAAGTTAGTACAATCTTACAATAATAATAATAATAATAATATGAAATTAGGTCTAACGAGATCGAACCCTAGACCTCAAGCTAACATCTTAAACATCTCTATCTTATTTTAGCCCCATCATCTTTACCACGATGATAACTTATAATTTTTTTTCTCCTTTTCTTTAGTCATTCTCTCAGTTTTTCTCATAAAAGTTAGGAAACTTTAATTCTAAGGAAGGTTAAGGTAAAAAAAACTCAATTCTTCCCTTATTAATCCTACGATTTTGGTTTTACAAATTATAGCTAGATTTTTTTTTCAACTATTTTTTAGTAACCTAAATTATAAATTAATATTTAATTTTATAAATAATTTTTGTATAAATCTCTTATGGTTCTAAGCCTCTTGTATGACTTTAATTTAAGATTAATATATAAAGTTACGAGGGTCCAGATATTTTTATTTTCTATGAATAAATTATATTCGAGGTGAATTGACTTACTAATATAATTAGGTTATGCCATTTTGATATATCTTAATAGGTAAATGACATAATGTCATGGGCAAAATAAAAGGTAAATGGAGAAGTGATGAAGTCAAAGAAAGACAAATGATAATAATGAGGTTGCTAATTCATTTTTTTAATCATGATTTGATTGTTGTCGACTAGGGTTATATCGATGATAATCGATAAGTGATGTTGTTACTTAGACATTTCATTTAAGGTTGTGATGATAGTGATATTGCTGTTGTGATAGTTGAAGACTAAGGAGAATAGTAGCGGAGAGAAATGAAAAGAAAATAATAAATAGGGTTGAGCCTTGTACCCTTAAGGATTTCCTTCTCATTTAAGGTTTACGATGACTATAAGCTCTTAACTATTTATTTATTTATTTATAAACTCTAAAATATGAGATTTATAATATTTTTATAAGGATGATTGTCGTGTTTCCATTCTAGAAGAAAGTGAGTATGAATCTATAGGATAAAGATTAATATTTATCATTTGATGAGTTTCATACATATTATTCTAGAGTGGTGGGTAGGGATCCGTAAGATGAAGATAAATACTTACTCTTATATGAATTCCACATAATATTCTCTTCTACAAGCGCGAGGGGAGGGGAGGGGAGGGGATTATAGATTCATATGATGAAGACATATATATCAATTTCAAAATCCTTTACCATGTGCATTTTATGATATATGTTTTGACGATCCCATATAAGCTCAAGCTCAAAGCTTCATAAAAAATTATCCTATGTTAAATCTTACTATATTATAACAAAAAATAAATATATGTAGAATAATTGTTCTTGAGTATTTATGATCCTATGACTCAAATATAATAATCCAAAGCTCTTCATGTCCTCTCGTACCAGTATAATAATATGATGGTGCTACGATCCCTATCACAATTATATCAAATTTTTTAATAAATATCATCGGTTAGCTAGATTAAAAAAAATTAGACCAATCCATAGGACATCTAATCATTTTTGGTGAGTATAAGTGAAAAGAAAAAGCTATATTTTGCTCAATCAATTGTTTCCAGAAAAACTCTACTCAAAAAAAGAATAAATAGGTTGCATTTTCCTCTTTAATTGGTCACGTAAAATATTTAATAGCAAATCATACCAAAATAACGTTTTACTTATGATTCATATATCTTTTATGCCATTATTACATGCATCCGTACTCGAAAGCCTTGACATTGTGAGTTCATAAGATGGCAATCCAAGTACGGTGCAGGCATGGATCCGAACTCCGGAAACGAAGCTTACCGAACCAGTCGGGTCGGATCGGGGCGGATGGCGTTTCGGATCCGATAGCGGCCGTTCTGAAATCGCAACTACAAAATTAATCTTGACTGTTCGATCGAGCGTACAGACAAGAATGTGACGGTCAAGATTGTGATCCGAGATCTATAAATTAAAGGGTAATAAGGCACGGCTTCGCCACTTCGGCTCTCGAAAGCGATCCGTCTTCGCGTCCGTCGTTGGGCTTCATTTGCGTTGTTGTTTCCTTCCTCCGCTCTTCATTTGAGGCTCGAAGAAGGGGAAGAAGGCGGCGAAGGGGAGCGAGGGAGAGAGGGATAAGAGAAGAGAGGGGGTTTGCGCTCTCCGGGGTTCCATCGAGGCGACGGGAGGCGCGGCGCCAGCTCGAGATCCAGGCTTCGTGTCGGTTCCTGGAAGCATTTTTCGCGTTCATTTCTCTCGTCCCCCCGCCGCCTCTGACATCTTTCCCCGGGTTTCGCGGTATTCGATCTAGGGTTTTTGAGGAAGGTGGAGCCATCGGAGCTTCGGTTTCATTTATTGTGGCATTTCGAGCTTCTAGGCTGCTCTCCTTGGCTGCGGTTCTCGGAGGCCTGCAGAAGGGCTAGGGCTTGGGGTTTTGATTTCCTGGAGGCAGGGCGGGGGTCGACTTGCCTCGATTTCAATCAGATTTTGGTTTTTGAATCGTTGCCGTGACCATTCGGTGGAAGCTAGGGTTTTTGCTGCCAATATTCTGGCAGTTATCGATTTGTTTAAGCTATGCAGGACTGAGTATCCAATATTGCCAGAAAAAGTTTTATATTGAAGTCTCTCATTGATGGATCTTGAGCTATGGTTTTGTCCGAAATAAGATACCTTTATCATTAGTGAGAAATAATCATTATGTGAATTTTGAATGGTTTATTTTCTGAATCCAGTATTCAAATAAGTCCGCCTATTTATGAATTACTTTATGAAGGCTATTTCGTTCGTCCGGGAGAATTGGTACTGTAGCAAGATTGAAATTTTGAGTTTGATCTTTTATTTTAGTCTACAGTGCTGAAGGACAAATACTGGAATTTATTTAAATGCTGTGATGGGGAAAGCACA